CGTTGACCACCCACAGCTGGATTCTACCTCGTTTTCTGGAGATGGACTGAACTGTTAAACCAGGTTAGTCACTTAAAAGGATAATCATCCTCTGTCAGATGGTCATGTTAACTTATCTGAGTTTTTCTCCAAACAGAGATTCCAGTGATGGGCGGTGCCCTGCCTTAGCCGCTGATACCGTGGATCCACAGCCCGATCTGAAATTTAAATAAACTCTTTAAATTATCCCACTGTCTGTCTTGATTTGAATACTGGGTCCTTCTGTCCTGTGTCAAGACAGAATCTCTATAATGAATTATTCTTCCTGTGTTTGTACTGTTGGCTTTTTTATGGAAGATTTTTATATTAAGGTAGGGACTGTTCCTATCTTAGAAACAAGCGTACCCAAACCAAGCTGATGCCAAACTCATAGGGGGAAATAAAGGGCATGTGAATTTCCTTGTTCAAAATGTCCTGAGAATCAGCTTTTTGTTCAGAAATTTTTGAACGGACTGCCGAAAAAAAAAATTTGTTTTTGAAGTTTAAGATCTGTACCATTTAAGATTTGATTAACGTGTTTACTAAAGAACTTTACTTTTGCAGATGGGGCTAAATTATCATAATTTAATGCTGTTCAATACTTAAAGTCTCATCTTCCTCTTCTACTCACCGTATTGTTCCTCCTCTCCACCTCAGAGCTTTCTCTCGCTCTGCTCCAGCACTCTGGAATTCACCCCCTCCTGTTTATTTAATTTGTTAAACATTCTAAGCTATTGGAGTATGAAAAAAATACACGGGGATAACATTTTTGGTACCCCTAGTTTAATTAAAGAAAATGAACAAATGAAAGTCAGACATTGCTTTTAACCATGCGTCAACAGAATGATAAAAATAAAAAAAAAACCATGAAACTGATACCTCTAGAAAAGACTGAAAATGTGGCCAAAGGGACATGTTAAATCAAGGTGTGTCCACTCAGCATCACAGGTGTCTAGAATCTTTAAATCAGTCAGTAGATCTATGTGTGGGGCTACCGGTAGTCACTCTGCTGTTTGGTGACATGGTGTGTACCACACTCAACATGGACCACAAGAAGAAAAGGTAAGAGTTGTCTGAAGAGATTAGAAAGAAAATTGAAGACCAGTATGTTAAAGATAACATTGACTACAGCTTTCCCAGTCCTGCCACAGAGTCTTGTTTATATAAGGTTTGAATTATATTTTAACACATTGTACTGCATTCACTGTAGCTCTCTGGCTGTATAGCTTAGCTTGTTGCCTGTTCGAAGGTGAATCTCGTTTCTTCTTGCAGAGCCTTTAACAGATATTGCTGACCTGTATCTAGCGCCATATATCTCCACATGAACTTAGACCAAATACATGCATGCCCACAGCATTATGCTCCCACCTGCATGCATCACTGTGGGGACATCATGATCAGGCGATGAGGGTGTGTTTATATTTAAAGTTTGGTCTCATCTGGCCAGAAAAAAAAAGCACATCCTCTCTTCTTTTTCTAGTCCTATTATGACCTTTTAATGGGGATATTCTACTACTTTCTGAGTAGTGCAATAGCAACAGTTCTCATGCCGACATATTATATGAGCTGGACAGTAAATGAGTGTTGACATATTTGCAGAACAGGTGGTTTTGTCTTTTTAAAATTCCTTCCTAGAATATTTTTTTCTTTCACAAATGAATTTTAGTCAGTGTGAGATTAAGCCAATGCAATAAGTTTATTTTCTAGCTTTCTTCACGCTTTTAACAGCGATACCAACAGGACATTTGGATACAATTGGCATTGACTATGGCAATATGTCATAGATTTGCAAAATTCACACTTCTTTTTGCTTCAGTCTGGTCTTTATAAATGAGAAACTTGATCTGAACAAAAAACAGATTTCATTCCAGCTCCTGGGTTTAGGTGCATTTTGGGACCTTTTTTCTCCCGAATGGGTCTTACGGGCAATTTTCTTTCCCTTTATAAGGACTAAGAAAGAGATTAAAGATGATATGATCCTCTCTCATCACTGCATAGTTGATATAAAAGACTCTTATAACGTGAAGATATTGCAGCTTACTGCAGCAAGCAGATGATAACAGGGTGTGGGTCCTGTTAAACATCTCTCCAGCACACAGGGGAGAAAAAAAATCTCATATACACTTGAGTCATTTGTTAAAAAAAAAAAAAAAAGATAGAATTCACTGCTTTTTCTTTTTTCCCTATGAAGTATTTTATTATTTTTATGGTCAACGATATAACCAAGCATCTCATCAGGAAAAACCACTGCAATTTTCATTAATCTCTCAGAGCGGCTGTCTTTCCTGTTTCCATGAGGTCCAGAAGATGGCAAGGAGGACATTTCAGGAACAGTTCAATTTCTACATGAATGGTTTGTCAGTTGCATGCTGTAAATGTTTTATCTGATGCCAGAGGCACTCAGCTGGAGAGGACCAATCTTTTGAAATAATTTTTTTAATATATATTTATGAAACCCTTATGAGACTTTTGCTTTCAGACATAAAGTATAATTACAGGCTGCAACTGTCCACCAAATAAGGTGAAATGCTATTGTCCAGAGAGGTTGGAGCACTCGGTTGTGCACTGAACGGTGTAAACGCCCCAGAGTCGTTCTCATCCAGGCTATTGACACAAAGCAGATTGGGTCTGCTGAGTCATGCTATGGATGAATTAATATTTGACCCTACCATCTGTGCCTCTCTTTATAAATGCAGGTTTGTTAGAGGAGGCCAAGTGTGTCCAGCACACTTCTGTTCCTGGCAGGCAGGATGAAGCAGCCATAACCATCTTCTGTTGCTCGACATGTGTGCTCCGAGCTTCCTTCCCTCTACAATCACTAAAGTTGAAACAAATGTCTTCCTGTTATTTGTTCGCTCATTCAAAATACTTGCTGAGGGAGATTAATATAACTATAGAAGAAAAGGCTATTTCAATGGAAAGTTAATTTTGTGCTCCCATCAGCATTACTTTAAGATATTGTTTATGCACCAATCATACAAAATGTGTAAAATAAAGAGGAAAATTTAGAGACACTGCAGTATGAAATAAAATGCAAAATTGTGTTTACAGCAAGTCTCTTCCTTTTCCTCCTTTGCCTGAAAATTTCTTATATGATCTATGGCTCACAAGTGGCTCACACATACCCTTAAGGAGGATTTTCTTTAACATATGCCTAACACTTTGGATATTCCCATTTCGTACTTTTTTTACTTCCACTTAACTTTCCATTAGTAGGCTTAGATCATGCACTATTTATTTTCTATCCATTCACTTTTGATGAAAAAAGTTGTTAGTTTAAAGTTGTTTTTTACCTGAAGTTTGCATATTCTCTGCTTACTCTAGGTACTCTGAGGGATTTTTGCACCTGTCAAATGTTGTTTTAATGCATACTGCACATTTTCTGTTAGTCCAATAAACCTCAGTTCATATAATGAAATATTACTGTGTTCATAAGTTATTAGGTATATAAAACTGAAATAGCTGTTGCAAACACCAAAATATTTAGAAATAAAAATAATCAAGATTAATAGGGGGTGCCCTAACGTTTTCATATGACTGTAGCTCAATGTGTGATACCACTAGCTGCAAACAGTGCATTATATTTTCCTTGTTTGTTGTTAAATATCATTGTTCTACAGCATTTTTCTCTTTGCCCTTTAATTTCCTCTCCCAGAGTGGATGATTGAAATATAAGTTTTTTTGTAAAGAAAAATTTTAAAGCAGTTCGTCATTCCTGTTCTACGGAAGAGGATTAGGGCCACTGAAAAAAAAAGTTAACTGATTTTTTTATTTTTTATTTCAGAATTGTGACATTTTTTATTGTCAGAATTCAGTCAGAATTCTGAAAAAAAGAGTCAGACTTCTGAGAAAAAAGTCAGACTTCTGAGAAAAAAGTCAGACTTCTGAGATTAACGTCAGACTTCTGAGATTAACGTCAGACTTCTGAGATTAACGTCAGAACTCTGAGATTAACGTCAGAACTCTGAGATTAACGTCAGAACTCTGAG